TGTGAAAAACAATAGGAAGACATTCTATAGGTACGTTGGCCAGAAGAGACAGGACAAAAAGAATGTACCACCTTTGGTAAATGTAAAAGGAGAACTGGCTTCAACGGACGAAGAGAAGGCTGAGGTACTGAATGAATTCTTTGCCTCAGTCTTCACTGGTGGCCAGGATTCCAGTACTTCTCGTGTCCCTGAGCCCTGTGTCCCTAAACTTCTAGGAGGGGCTGGGGTGGTAAATCCCCCCACTGTAAGGGCAGAGCAAGTCCAAGACAGCCTCACGAGACTGAATGTGTAGAAGTCTAAGGGGTCGGATGGCGTGCATCCCAGGGTTCTGAAGGAGTTGGCTGAGGTGGCTGCCAAGCTGCTTATTCATCATATTTGAAAAGCTCATGTGGCTCAGCTGAGGTCCTGGATGATTGGGGAAGGGTCACGTCACTCCCATTTACAAGAAAGGGAGCAAGGAGGACCCCAGGAACTACAGGGTGGTGAGTCTCACTTCTGTACCTGGGAAGATCATGGAACATATCATTCTGGATGACATGCTTGATCACATGAGGAATGAGTGTGTGATCCAAGACAGCCACATGGCTTCACCAGGGGAAGGTCATGCTTAACAAATCTTATGACCTTCTATGATGTAGTGACGGCATTGCTGGACAAGTGTAAGGCGACCAATGTCATTTACCTGGACTTGAGCAAGGCCTTTGACATGCTCTTCCACCACATCCTTATCTCCAAATTGGATGGATGTGGATTCGATGGGTGGACCACTCGAAGGGTAAGAAACTGGTTGAAAGGCCGCAGACAGAGGGTGATGATCAATGGCTCTATGCCCAGGTGGAGGCTGGTAATGAGCAGCATCCCCCAGGGGTCTGTCTTGGGACCAGTGCTCTTTAACATCTTTATCAGTGACATCGATGACGGAATCGAGTGCACCCTCAGCAAGTTTGCTGATGACACCAAGCTGAGTGGTGCGGTTGACATGGTGGAAGGAAGGAGTGACATTCAGAGGGACCTCAACAGGCTTGAAAGGTGGGTCCAGGTGAACCTGATAAAGTTCAACACAGCAAAGAGCAAGATTTTGTTCTTGGGCTGGAGGAATCCCACGCATCAATGCAGACTGGAAGGAGCAGTCCTTGGGAGCAGCCCTGCAGAGGACCCGGCGAACCTGATGGATGAAAAACTTAACATGAGCCAGCAGTGTGCCCTTGCAACTTGGAAAGCAAATGGAAGAGGAGTGGCCAGCGGGAACAGGAAGGTGACTGTCCCCTCTACCCTGCTCTAGTGAGGCCTCATCTGGAGTACTGTGTTCAGGTCTGGAGCTCCCAGTACTAGAAAGACAGAGAACTGTTGGAGAGGGTCCAGAGGAGAGCCACAAAGATGATCAGGGGACTGGAGCACCTCCCTTATGAAGACAGGCTGAGGGAGCTGGCCTTGTTCAGCCTGGAGAAAAGAAGGCTGTGGGGTGACCTCATTGCAGCTTTTCAGTACCTAAAAGGAGCCTACAAACAAGAGGGGAGTCAACTCTTTGAAAGGGTAGATAACGGCAGAACAAGGGGAAAATGGTTTTAAGTTGAAGGAGGGAAGATTTAGGTTGGATGCCAGGGGAAAGGTCTTTACAAAGAGAGTGGTGAGGTGCTGGAACAGGCTGCCCAGAGAGGTTGTGGATGCCCTGTCCCTGGAGGTGTTCAAGCCTAGACTAGATGGGGCCCTGGGCAGCCTGATCTAGTATTAAATGTAGAGGTTGGTGGCCCTGCATGTGGCAGGGAGGTTGGAAATTCATGATCCTTGAGGTCTCTTCCAACCCGGGCCATTCTGTGTGTGATTCTGTGTGATGAGGAAGTTTTTCACGTAGAGGATGGTGACGCACTGAAACAGGTTGCCCAGAGAGGTTGTGGATGCCCCATTCCTGGATGCATTCTAGGCCAGGCTGGATGTGGCTCTGGGCAACCTGGTCTTGTGGTTGGCAACCCTTCCCATGGCAGGGGTGCTGAAACTAGATGATCTTTGAGGTCCTTTTCAACCCAAGCCCTTATATAATTCTACTATGCTGTGCTCAGCTCATGGGACGTGTCAGGCAGCTTCATAATGAATTGTGCTTGAGCTCATCTCAAGCAAATTTGTTTCAGGGTCCCCTGGCACTGTGGGGGAGAGAACTGCTCAGTCTGTCTTCTCCTGTTCTCCTACTCCTTCCCCTTTTTTGATTTGCTTTGATCCATATATCTTGTTTTCTTTTGTCAGGCCAGTACACAGTTCAACAAAAGGAATCCTGAAGTTCCGCTCCTATGATGGAACAACCCTTGTTTCCAATGTATTCCATTGTTTGCTTGGGAATAAGCATGTGAAATGCAGCTTTGTAGAAAAGGCCCTGGGGATCCTCATGAACATCAAGCTAAACATGAGCCAGCAATGTACTTGCTGCAAAGATCAACAGGCTTCTGGGCTGCATTAGAAGTAGTGTTGCCAGCAATTGGAAGGAGTGATCCTTCCCCTGTGGTGGTGATGCCACACCCAGAGCACTTGAGTCCATTTCTGTGCACCCCAGTACAAGAGACACAGGGACGTAAAGGAAAGTGAAAGACTACAAGGTGATTAAGGAATCTCTGGTATTAAGAAAGGCCTGAAGAACTGGGACTCTTCAGCCTAGTGAAGGGAAGGCTCAGGGACCATAGACGTGTATATAAATGCTTGAAGGGCTGGTATAAAGGAGACAAAGCCAGGTAGGCTGTTTTCAGTGGTGTCCAGTGGCAGGATGAGAAGCAGTGGGCATAAATTAAAGCACATGATCTTCCATATGAATATCAGGAAGTGTGTTTTTCACTATGAGAGTGATTGAACGTTGGCATAGGTGTCACAGAGATGTTACGGAGTTCTCCATCCTTACAGATACTCAAAAGCTATCTAGACATGGTGTTGGGAAGCACGTTCCAGATGTTTGTTCCAGCTTTGACCATTCTGTGATTCTAGCAGTAGACTGGGAATCTTTTGCACTCTTGGACTTCACGTAGTGAAAAGTGCTGAATGCCTACTTCTCTTGACTTCTGCTTTTCTACCTGTAAAACTGTGAAAAGACCTACCTATTTACTGCAGATAAGTAGTGAATTAGTATTTCTTCTGCACTTTGAAAATAAGTTGGGAAAAACTGATGAAATTAACAAAAAAGACTGACAATAAATAATGTTAGAAACAGTCTAATAGTAACATAACTCATGTCTGTGAAAATTAAGGTCATGCTTACTTGTTATATATATATGTCACTTGTTTGGAACACTAGTTTCACTAGTTTGGGTTCAGTTTACTTGCTGTCAAAGTAGTTGTGGAAGAAAAATCTACACCAAATCCTTGCCTTGAATTTTTGTTATCTTAAATACCTATCTCTTTGCATTTACCCAAGCTGAAACCTGACCTTGAGAGAGGAGCTTTATGATTAGAGGGCATGCAAGCCCTGCACTGATCACGATTGATTCAGCACTGTCTTACAAATCGTGCCAGGACAGCTGACAGAGCCCAGCTATGTTAGGGTAGAAAATAAGCGGCAGGAACTGATCAGCTGACTGAAAAGGCCATTAATACCAAGCTGGACTTCCCTTGCCAGTGAAGACAGGCCAAATACTGGACTGCTCTTCTTTTTGTTACTAGCTAGTGCTGTGTAAGTTTGTTATTGGTGGCATTCTCCTTGAAGAGAGCTCATTTTGCACGTGGTGGGGCAGCAGTGCTGGTCTGCATTGAGCCCACCTGGTCCTCAGTCTGGTCAGGCTGCCTTTTGGCTATCTCCCAAAAAGGAAACAGAGGTGAAAGCTTCTGGCTGTTTTTGTTGTGGATAAAAGACACAGCTTTGCCCCTGCTGGTTAATGGTAAGGGTTTGGGAAGAGTTATCTCCCAGTGACTATCATTTTAGAAAAGGTAGGTGTGCAAACGGAGTGATTTCTCATTTCATGGCTCTGGATCTGGATTTTAGGCAGCTTTGTACTGCGAAATGCAGAAAACTGGGCTTAGCCGAAAGTGAGTTGCTTAGCAGACGCTTGCTGTCATACAAATTAGACACAGCTTTTGCATCTTGGAGTGCTGCCAGCAGAGAACTAGCTATTGCATTAAATGTCTACTACCACTCGTGATCCAAACTGAAAGCAAGGAAATTAATCACTTTTCTAGCTTCACCTTTGTAGTTAGCACTTTGGCATTAAATTTGTTTTTCGTCTTTTAAACACAAACTATAATATACTGCTCTGAAATTCAAATCAGTGAGTGTATGGGGAGAACAGGAAAAGATTTAATTTAGCAAGAGAAAGTGATGTGCATTTGTAGGATCTGTCTCATTTTAAAATGGAAAGGGATGTTAACTTTGTTAGTGCTGTGTAATGTCTGTTTCACAGGAATTCATACCTTCAAAACTGAAGTTCAAATAAACATGTAACTTGAAGAGTGGATTCCATTGATTTGAACTACCAGTGTATAAAGAAATAGCAGTTCAATAAACACTTTCCTTGCCTTTTTACTCTGCCCCAACCAAGTCAACAACTCAACATGAAGTAAAGAAGTGGATTTTAGAAAATTTAGAGTTCAGCAATTTCCTGAGGATATAAGGTTTCTTTCAGTCATTGCTGTCTGCTGTGAGAGGGTTTTGACACTTGAAGGGCTGTGCTGGATTGAATTGGTAAACTTAACTGTTTATGCCAATGCTGCTGACTTCTGCCTGTTCTGTACTCTGTAGTCTTTATTGTCTTAGCCAAGCTCTGTATCACCAAGGTTTTGATCTATTTACTTATCTATTTATTTACTAAATGGTATCCAGAAGCCCTAGGTCATAGAAATGTTTATTTTTATTTTAAAGGTTTATTCTTCAAATTAGACAACAAATTAGAAATTAAGCTCTTCAGAAGACAAATAGAAAATCCTTAAGAAAAATTCTGCTTAATTAATTTCAGGATTGTGCATGGGAGGGGAGATAGCAACATATTGCTGGTATTTTTAAGTTCTGATATTGGTAGTACTGTCCCTGTAGTGTATCAGCACTTTTCAGAAGAGGAATAGGAGAGAAAACAGTAGGTAAATCTCACTTCTTGTGGCTCTGAAATGCTTGCAAGCATTAGATTTATGCTCAGTCTTTACAGGTCTGCTACAAGGGTTTCTTCCTGCTTTTCCTGCAGCCTTTTTTTCTTTGATCTGCAGAGCTCTAAAAAGCCCTCCCTTTACTGTAGCTACAGGGGTGATTTTCTGTTTCCTTTTGCAAAGGAATCTGAAATACAAAGGCCAAGTAGGAATGTGTGCTTGCCTGGAAGTAATGTGCTGAGTTTGTAACTACTGGAGAAAATAATTTGGCAGATACTTATTTCTGTGTGCCTCCCTAACGCTAAGAACAATTAGACACCAGCTGAAGGCGGTGATTGCCAAAAGCACATTTGGATGAGGTGGGTGTTTCTGGGTGGTACAGTCATGCATTAACAAGTGTGACTGCGTCATGAAAACAAAAGTGTATTCATACCCCAGTCCTTCTGTAGGAATGTGCTATCCTCAAGAGAAAAGGACACCATTTGGTAGGGAGGCAAGGAGAAGGACTAAGCACAGGAAAATGAGGTGTACTTAATTTCTTACTGTTAGTAAAAGTGTCTACCTGAATTGGATGTAGCCTTCATAGCTACTTCTGGAATCATCCTCTGTGAAAGATGAAGTGGGAATAGGTCAGCTGCTCCAAGTCCCGTTCTCCAAGAGTTTGAAGCAATCTAAATGGATGGGCAGTTGGGCAGTAAGCAGCAAGTAGGAGGGCAGCTGCTGCAGCGATAGAGGTCCAGGGAGCTTTGTCCAAGGCAGAGGTAGATGGAAAACCCTTTCCTCCAATACATATGCTCTCTTCTGAAAAATAGAGTTAAGAAAGCAGACTTTTTTTTCCTTTTTCTTTTTTTTTTTTTTTTTCCTTTTTCTATTTGGAGGACTGAACTCCTACAGGGTAAAGAGCTAATTGTAAAAAATAAGTCTTAATTCCAGTGCATAAAATCTTGCAGTCTTTCTCTTGCTTTTTTAATTCAATGCTGAGCTCCAGTTGGTGCCTGTGTATCTTTTGGGGAAGGAAAATCTGCATCCAGCAGAAACCTTAGCTATTGTGTGTCTTGAAGGAGAAAATTAGAGGTTTTCATAGCATATCACATGCACAGATAGATGCTAAAGATGAAATGGTACTGTGTGGGGATGTGTAATGGAGTCAGTGTTTGTCACCATGGAAGTTTCAGACACCAAGAAATGATAGTCCACAATCTGTAAGTGCTTTTAATGAGATAACTACCTGCTTGCTTGCTTAGGTTTCTTGTAGTTGCATCTTCCACCACTGGGGTTTTGAAGGATGAGTGCATAGAGCTCAGTGAGAAGGTTACAAAGAAAACTCACCCTGTATTTTGAGAAATATTTAGCAGCTTAATTAGTTTCAGAGTATGGTGTTGTTGACAGTGCATAAATGAGAGCTATTTTCTATTTATCTACATACATTTCTATTCTCTGAGCCTTATCTATTATGAGTATCTTCAGTACCTTTTCTCCTCAAAAGCAATCCTTGTTTTTTCTTCCAATTTGTTTTCACAAGACATTGTCAAACATCTTGCGTGTAAGAGAAAAATAGTACACTCTACCCTCCAGCAGATTTATAGGGAAGAGCAGGGGGACAGGAAGCCTTGGTTTTAAATATCCAGAGTTAGTACTTAAAAAACAAGGGATGCAGTACTTCAAACTTAAACGTTTCACTGTGGTTTTCCTTGCGGCCTTCTGCTAATCTGGTAATCCTTTGATGAAGCTGAGTTCTGTGGCTTTCTGGAGACAGCAGAGCACAGCTGATCCTGAACACAGTTATTTTCTTTCAGCATAATATAGCCATCTCTGAGGTCACAGGGACTGCTGCAGCTGTACTCTGACTGCAGAGTTATCAAATGCATTATTTTATGCGGCATACAAGCCAAATTACATGCTGCCGCATCCTAATGCCTTCAAAATTTAGCTGTGCTTCTGCTGCACTAGAGCTACTAGAGCTATGATGTGACAAGCAAGCTTTCCACTAGCTTCATAGAGGGGTTAAAATCAACAGTAAAACAAACGCATGGTTTCTGGTACTTGTGAATAATATCTCATTTGGATCTTGATGTGAAAGCAGAATACAGTAAATTTCAAGTGACAGAAACAAATTAGTTCAATTTCTCAGGTCTCTAACCTTATCATCTTTCATGAAACACCTTTGACAGCTGTTGTGGCAGCTTGTATCTTGGGGGAAAAATACAAGCTGGAGTGCACACAAGGTCTTTTCAGCTTTTCTGGGACCGGGGACCAGGGCCAGAAGCTTTGGGAGAAGTGGGGTTTTGGAGGCATCCTCCAAGTACGGGATCCCTCCCCAGGTGTGTACCACAGACTGAGATCGCTTCCCTGCCCTTTCTGAAGAAGGGCTGCAGAGGCTTTTCTGGAGACCCATGCTGCCTAAACTGTGGTTGGAATCTGCTTCCTAACATGACTGGGGAGAAGGCGCACAGCCTTAGTGCTTGAGGCAGAGTTGAGAAAAGACGTGGGGGACATTATGCTTCTGGGGGTGGAGGAGCATGTGCTGAGCTGAAACTTCATTTGGTGGCTCTAAAGCAAACCTCAGTAAGCCAGCCACCATCAACAGTGATATGGGAGCCCTGGCACAAACTGTGTAGATAAGTTTGGTACTCAGAAATATAGAGGAGTTGCGCCTGGACAGGCATGTGAGATGGAGATGAAATCATGAGCAGGGATTATCTCATGTTTCTACCAACAGTAGAAGGACAACCAGTAGCTTTTTACCATAGACCCTACCGAAACGGAGTCCCAGAGCACCAGGCTCTGAAACCCTAATCACTGAAGGTACACTGACTACCATACCATTCTCTTGGGGCTATGGCTATGTGTGTCTTGAATGTAATGTGTGTCTTGAATGCAATGGCAGAAGGCACATAATATTGGCTCACTATGAACAACTGGGCTGTGAAAGTGTCTTGCCTACTACTGGGGCATTGCAAGGGCATAACACATGAAAGTCCTGGGGAAGAGCAGGGCTGGAGCAGAACTCAGCTAGTCAATATAGCACAATGCTAGGAATATTTAAGGCTGCCACCCTTTGTTCAAAATATCTTGGCTCTGTGCTGCAGGCCTATGAAGTTGTATTTTCCATTTTACTGATAGCAGGGACCAGTATCTGTTTGTCGTTTACTTAAAACTTCATCAGTCACTTACGGTTGCTTTTTTTTTTTTCTTCTTTTTTAAAATTTGTTTCTTTTATCTACTTCAAGAGTGTGTATTTCCTTCATATTTAATGTAATACCTATATGCTTCAAACTAAGCAGCTCTGCAAATGCCAGCACGGTCAGGGTCTCAATGAATATATGCTACCTCTTTCTTCAGAGCAAAACCAATCCTGGAAGATCCATCTCTTTAAAACTTGGGCAATTTGTGCTCCCAGTGCTACTTATATAAAAGAGTCATAATGTGAATGCAGAGTCTTGGTGCTTTTCCTCAATTACAACAAATGTGTTCTCAGTTATATAAATTTATACACGTTAAAAAAAGCAATGAGTATGTTTTGCTTATATGAACAAAAGCTCTTAAAGATATTGCCTACACCGCACAAGCTTCTGGAAGGCTTTCTTGAAATCTTCATTAAAGATTGTGTAGATTAGAGGGTTAATAAGGGAATTAATATATCCCAGCCATGCTAGGAAATTAGACATGTCTTCTGAAATGTGACATCTTTCACAGGTGTTCACAACTACTTCTTTTACAAAAAAAGGGAGCCAGCAGATCACAAAAGCTCCCAGGATCAGACCCAGAGTAGTTGCTGCCTTTCGTTCTCTTGTACTAGAGATTCTCTGTTTTTTCCAAGACTTCTCATGCTTAGATTCAGATCTGGGGCTTCGTATGCTGACGTTGATTTTATCACAGTCCACCAGTGGATCTGATGTCTTCTCCATTGTGCTGGGCATTGAAGTCAATTTGGTGCTTCTCTCACCTGCATCCAAAAGGACTTGTCCATTTACCTCCTCCCTGACTATCCTGCTGACACTTCTTCTGTGAAAGGTCTTTGCTGCCTTGTATATCTTGTAATAAAGGATCAGAATCAAGGCCAGGGGGATATAGAAGGCGCCAAATGTAGAGTAAATGGTGGAAACAATGTGGTCATGTTTGATGATGCATTCATCATCCCTGCTGGTTGTCTGGTGCCTCCAAAACAAAGGCGGCATGGAGATAAAAATGGATATGATCCATACCACTGCAATCATGATACCAGCATGCTTTGGTGTCCTTTTCCGTGCGTATTCCACAGCATCTGTGATTGCTCTGTAACGATCCAAAGCAATGGCAGAGAGATGCAGGATGGAACATGTGCAACACGTAATGTCCACACTCAGCCAAATGTCACACACTACTTGCCCCATGATCCAAGTCTCCTTTACAATGTAGACAATGCTGAAGGGCATCACTAGGACTGCCACAAGGAAATCAGTCACTGCGAGAGAGCAGATCAAATAGTTGGCGGGGTGGTGGAGTTTTCTTGTCACAATTATTGCAGTCATCACCAGAGAATTGATGGCTGTTGTCATTAGCGCAAGCACAGACAGGGTAATGGAAATGAGAATCTTGGATGTCACCCACTTGAATAGTTCTTCTGATGTACTGTTTTGTTCTGTTGAGTTTATTAAATCCATGTTCCCTTTTAAAGGTGATCTTTACCAGTAGAAGTTACCTGTTGAAAAAGTAAAAACGTGTCTTCAGTTTGCAGAGAATCTTGAATTTGTCATCTTAAAAGATTATAGGCTCCAAGCTTACAGGAAACTCAAACTTATTGTTAGAAATGATTCTAGCTCCAGACAGTGATGTTCTTGGCTACTGCTATGTGGGATGATGCTCTGCCTCTTCTTTGTCCTTGGTCATGCTAAAGTGAATGTCACATTTGAAAGACAGGGGAGAGAAGAATGCAGTGGTCCTGAGATGGCACTGCCCTGCGGGGTGATGCAAATCACTGTAGGGGACAACTGTGTCTGTCCTTAAAGCAAGACACTGACATCAGTGAAGCCCCCAGGTTGCAGAGTCAGGCCTCCTGCTAATTGCTTACTCCAGATAAATTGTAGTGGGTTCTTGAAACTGATTAAACATGGGCAGTCTCATCCTAAGGTAAGTACTAATGTTGCTTCTAGGCTAGTGCAGTCTACACTGCTAAGCAATGTAAACACCATTGAAAACCTTAATTCACAGAAAGATAGTGAAATAATTCTCTCTATATCAATTAGCTTTTTCCTATCAGTATGTGACTTGTATAGAGAAGCAAAGACTCTTTCACCTGGGACATTGTTTTCAAGAGGAAACAGAAAAGTGAAAAATTGTAGTACAAGTAGGAAATAGAACAATTATGTGTTGAAAATTTCTATTTTCTCGTGCAGCCCTAAAATTAAACAGCAACAGCTGAATATGTCTTCAAGTTTCAGATGAATGACTTACTGTCTAACTGAAATATATGTTGATTAGACTCCTAAGAATGTCATTACTTTACCTCAAGTTTTGCTTTTCTGTGGCTGCTGCCATAGTAAACTGCCCAGAACTTGAATGCTGGCTGTTTTTGTAGTGGCTATCTCTATGGAAACAGTACAGCCCCTGCATGGCTCTGCAGAAAGTAAAAGGCAGGGAAATACTGATAAGATGAACTCCAGATTATGTTCTGGGAATGTGCTGTTTTACCCTATGTTCTCATCAAAAAAGGATTTCTGAGCACTCTGTAGTAGGAACTGAAGTAGGAGTTCCTAACTTTTTTGGACTAGAACTTGTAACTCACGGGAGGAAGATCAGGTTGGGTTTCATACTCTCGTGAGTTCTGGTGTGCAGTTTCTTATGGATGGAACCTCTACTGGACAAACCCCTTGGTGACATTTCCTCTGTCCAATTCTGGAGTATAGTGAGTGAGTTGTGCTTCTGTTGCACTGGGTGCTACAAGAAGAGGAAAAAACTAAATAGGTGACTTCTCCCCCCCCCCAGGAAAAAGGGGCCTCATTAGCATAACTGCAGCCTTTTTGTATTGTGCTGAAATGGCTTTAAAAAACTCATATACTGTAAATAACCTTTAGTTCTTTGGTTGAATTTTGTTTGATATTCTAACCAGGACAAAGCTTAATGTGCTGCTGGGCTACTTACAAAGGTTTTTATCGTTGCTTGACCCCAACCCTTAACTGTATGGAAGGACAAGGACAGGAAATACATTTTATTTTGTGTTATGTACAAACACTGAGCAGAATCTTGTCCTGTACATGAGCTGATTACAGCATGCACGTGCTCTTTTTCTCTCTCCATGCCCCTGTTTTTGAAATTGCAATATACATCACATGCATAAAAATATATCTTTTGTCATGTCAGTGTCACCTTAAAACCTTCTGAATTCACAGTAATTGCTAGGTTGCAGATATTTTTGTCCATAGATAGCTGCCTTCCAGTGAAGGAACAGGCAGATATAGTATTATCTAGTGAATGTTCAACCTCTGCTAAAAAAAAAACAACTTCATCTTCCTGCTTGTTTAAAAAAAAAAAAAAAGGCTGTTGTTGGGAAAAACTAAGTCTTCTGTTGATATCCAGCAGTTGATCATATTTCAGAACAGTTACTCATTACTGTTAATTATTATATAAATTTCTGGCTCTTTAAATATTAGTTTTCATTGCAAGCAAGCAAAAAGCAATTAAGAATGGAATTTATAATGAAAGCTGATTAACAGTTTTTGAAAGATTATTCAGTCTGATAATACAGAGTAAGGAAAATAGTGTGTTCACAGAAATGGTGTGTAGGAATAAGTAGGTTTCCTTAGTAGTGCGAAGATTTGGAGGCTCTTTGTAAGTACAGTGACAGCAGTGCTCTTACTTGCCATGTGGTTCTCTCTGTTAGATTGTTAGTGAGTGTGTTCTGATTTCATTCAGGCTGATAGCATGGACCCTCAACAGAATTGAAGACTGCCACCCAAGTATTCATTGCTGCTGTTTTATAGATATTTGTGCTGGGCTCTTCTGTTTACAGGATGTAACCTGCTTTGTAAAGGTAGCCATCTGGAAGTACACCCTTTTCCTGTGTGGAGTGTTAGGACCTTCAGAACCCCAGAAGCTGGTGCCTGGAGCATTCACTGTGTGCATACCAAGGAGCATGGCTCTATGGGACTGAGCACATTCTGGATCTGAAATGTACTGGGGGCGGAGGAATAACTCATAAAATGGTTTTGCAGTTCAAGTCTCTGTTAACTGAAGTTATTTATCACAGAAGGTCACAACAGACCTATTTCTAGAAACACATACCATAAATTACTGCAAAATTATAGATAAATCAATTGAGCTAATAACAACTGAAGATAATACAGAATTCTGCCTAACAAGCACCCTCTCAGGAGCAGCCTGGGCAAATAGATATGCTTTGAAGCATGCCATGAATATCAATATAACACATGAAGGAAACAAATTTCAGAGTCCTAGAGAATACGTGCTTCCAGCTTAGAAATGCACAAATCCATTTATTGCCTGAACACAGAGACTTTGATTTGTTACAGAATGGTAAAATAAGTAAATAAATAAATAAAAAGGTCCATTTCTATGCCTTGAATGCAAGGCACAGTTATGTAGTGAACATGCTTTTCTTAGTCATGTTACCAATCTAAAAGTCCCTGTGTTGTAAAATGATACACTGCAGTATGTTTTCAGTCAGGTGCTACAAAGATGATGCTTGCCTTTAATTTTTGGGCAGTGCTTCAAATTCTTTCAGCCAACAGAAATAGTTCCAAATGGTTAAAATGACAAACTCTGACAGGCTTAGCCCAGAAAGTTACCACTTCAGATGTCTCTACTGCCATGTTATTTTGCACTTGGAGCAAAATCGAGAGGTGGAAGGTTCTCCTTCCTCTGAAGCAGCTGAAATGCAGAATCCGAGGGATTGCTCATGCTGCTAGGGAAGGAGAACTTGCCTTGTGATGCTGGGTACTGTTAGAGCATTGTGAGAAGCAGTGTGAAGTTGTTAACCTCTGGCAAACTGGCAGAGTGCAAAAATAGCTCCTGTCCTCACCTCCCTGATGTAATCAACTCACCTTCATGTTTCCTACTGACGCCACATGAATTCGGCGTGCTGGCTGTGGTTCCTTTGGCACGTCTCCCTGCAGAAGGCTGTGGTTCTTCCTGTGCTACCCCGCCAGCATTACCAGACACTCTGTGTTTTCCAGCCTGCAAAACACCAGATACTTCAGTCCTGAGTGTGATAAACCCAGACAACAGGAGATCAGGGGACTTCTGTTCCAGGGGTAGTTCCTGCAGAGGTACCACCAGAGCTGTCTTTCAGCTCCGCCTGGTGACTGAGTACAGTGCTCAGTAAAACCTGCATGGTCAGCAGGGCTGCTGTGTTGTGGGGGGGTTAGTCTATGATGCTCTCCTTTCTTCATTTGCCATGTTCTCTGCTTAGATCTGTTGGGTTGCAGCATACTCCATCGCTGCTTGTCAACTTGCTTGTGCTCAGGGGACACCTTCCCTACTTACTGTCGTCAAGTCTGTAGCAACCTCTGCATTTACTTATATGGAAGAATGATGTTCAGAAAGTAATTATGCATTCCTTGCTGGTGCTTCTAATGATGAAGTTGAGGGTTTGTTGCTGTGCATTTTTTTTTTTTTTTCTTGGCTCCTTTCAGAAAATTAGTCACTCATCTGTGTTTGCTCTTTATTTTGTATCCCTCTGCCATCTATTTTAATCTAACTGAAGAGGATGGGGAAGGAAAGAGCAAGGGGAAGACAGTCCCCTAGCCAGCACTCTGAGAGACAGGAAGGAGGAGCAGCGAGAATGGCAGAGTTCACAGCATGACAAGATTGCTTATATAAAGCAGTAAGAATGCCTCCCAAATGTGGTTTCAGTTGTTGGGTAAATGGACAGTGAACTTGTTTTGAATTTGAACATTTTGAGTGGAGAAAGGAAAACATTCAGACATTCTTAATATTGCCAGGGGAGATAGCAGTGATTCATCTCTGTAGTTCATTGGATCACAAAACTCAGATCCCCTTCCAGTTTGAGGCTGATCAGAATCCACAGTTTAGACCTCTCAGGACAGTGGTCTGGGTGTAGTTGTCCTGGAAAGCAGTGCCTATGGGTGCTGTGCGAATAAGTGTCTGTGAGAAACAAAGTTGTGTGTTGGCATCCCATCCCCCTGTGTGAGTGGAATGGTCTCTGTGGTAACCCTGCACAGACCAATCCTGTGTACCTGTGATTGGCACCCCATCCGTACAAGTACATATCCCCTTGTGTGGGTGGTCAGGATCTAAGCTTGGACCCTCCAGATCTTTAGTTTAGTTTGTGTTTTACAGTCTGAAATCTTCTTTTTAACCAAAAATTTTCTGTATTAGGAAAGGATGTTTAAAATTTTTTCCTCCATAGAGCTGGAAGAGAAAGAAAAAGCAAGTATTGCAAATATTTTTTAAATTTTGTTTCAAGTTTTGAGGTTTTTTTTTTCCTGTTTGCTTTGACAATGAATCAAAGTGATTATTCACCCATCTCTGCAATTTGTACAGCTAATTTTGTACTGTGCAGGAGTGACTTGCTTTCGTGTTTATCAACTAAATTTATACCACAAAGTACAGAATTATACAGAAGTATAATATAAATATTATATATATATTATATATATTACATATATATAATATAAAAAAGTAAACAGACAGTACAGAATTGCTTTGTGTATGTTTCAAATCACTGCCCTTTGGACAAGGACTTGAAACCTGCAGGAATGATAAAGCTGTGTTGGAGCAAAGAGGTCGAGAGGTAGCATTACTTCCTTTGTATGGTGATAAAATGCAGCCTTGTTTCTCCCACTTCCCACTCATCCGTATGCTTAAGGACCAAGTGTTGTTTGACAGCCCTCTGAAAACACATGCAGGCACAGCTGTAAGTAAAAATCCTTTCTAATAGATACACCTACCTCTGAAAGTCTATTATAAGAAGGGCTTCAGCTTTGAGGAAAAAGGTCTACTAAAGGCCTGTCAAACTGAAAAATCTAGCAATAATCTTGCACTTTTATTAAATAATAACAATAATGGTGCACTTTGGTTAAGAAGCATTTTGGTTGAATGCTTCCTGTGTTACCTGGCTTGGATAATGTGTGCACCTTTTGTCTCACTTCCTTGGATGTTGGTCCTAATTCAATTAGTCAGATTAGTCACTTGCAGCTCACAGGAGTTTCTGATTCTATAATGTGTTCTGTCAGCCTTTTCCAGTAGTTGTAGAGATTGGTTTTATCTAGCACGTTTTGTATTATAAAAACTTTGAAATCTTTTATTGTGCCAAAAGAAATGGCCTTATTTTCTCCAGGACAGTAATAATACAACCTATCTTCAAATATATCTGGAACAGATCTCTATTTCAAGTTGGAGAACAAGAAAACATCATTTTCAAACCTGTAGTACATTTGTTTTTCTGCTGTGTGCTCACCGAGACAGCTCTCAAGAAGAACTGGCCTCAGAAGAGTTTGCTGGAAGAGGAGTGAACGTGACAAGTTGGAGTTATCCTCTGCAGCAGGGATTCTGCACAGCAAAAAGAACATTAGTAATATCTGGTTAATTGCTTCAGTTTGGAGAGATGCCAATATTCACATAATCTGCAATCTTATCACTGCCCTTTGCCTGTATTTTTTTGTCTTTCCGTCTGCCTTTCCATCTGTCTTTCCTGTCTTAATGCATACTTCCCAGTATTTTGCCTCATACTTCTTGTTACAATGTCATCTCTATTCTGGTTCTTATCTAATAATCTCAAGATTGAAGCTCTTTCCCTAGGCTTTGTTACCCTTTTGTGATTGAATAGGCCTATTACTCAGCAAAGCGTGCGCTGGGTTTGTGCTGAGCAGCAGTTCTCTAATGTCCTCTTAACCAGGATAAACTGATACAATTTGGACTAGTTCCTCTGAGTGGTGCACATGCAGTTCTGGCTGAGAGGTATTTTAAGTAAAACAAATAGAATCAATCCTTAAATTGATGGCTTGGGAAATGTGAGCAAATGTAGAAGTCTCAAAGTAGAAGTGGAATTCAAAGTATTTTTTACCCAGTCTCCCTGGAAAAGAACAAAAGAAGAGGGGTCTACATGCTTCCAGAAAAACAGACAGGTTGTGTCGAAAGCTTTCTCTAAGGGATGCTTTGGGAAGTTTCATTTAGAGGATGCTTTGGGAAGCTTTATTTAGAGCGTGCTGCCACCACTATGTGAAGGAGAATATGCAATTGGGAACGGCACAAGAGATTGTGTCCAGCACAAAACATTGACACGCTGTAGACTCCTGGGAAGCAGCAAGTGGAGAGATGGCCTTTCTAAGGTACATAATGCACTAATCTTCCTTGAAACTGTTCGGTCTGGAAAAAGTGAACTTTGAGACCAAAGGTGGAGCTCTTTAGCTCTTTACGTGGAAGACTGAAGAAGTTTTGTTAAGTGCATCTGAGAGACGTGTAAGAAAGTATAGATGTCAGATAAAATCTCAACCTGGGATCGTGCCCACGGGTTTTCATTTCAGAAGTAACTAAAATGTTAGCAAGGCAGGCAGGCTGAATCACTGTGCTCACACTGACGCCTGGTGGACTCAAAACCACACAATGTAGCAGTCCTTTCTTCTTTTTTACAGCTTCCAAATAACCTGCAGCTGTCAAGCACGCCTTTCCCTTTGCTTAATGTCATTTTTGCATTACAGCATGCTCACTGTAGAAATGTCTGCGTTTAAAATGTCAGCCTTGGGTCAGCCTGCATAAAATAAGAACAATGAACAGGAGAGCTAGGGGGATGAGGGAACCAGTGAGGGGAAATCTGATAGGGAAGTTGGGGGGAAAATCTGAAGAAGGGGAAGAGCACCTGCTGCTTACTACTTGCATGCTTGTATGTCCCACAGTGCTGTTCACTTACACTGAATGCATGCAGATACAGTGACTTCTCACAAGAGTGAGGATGCCAAATAACTCAACCATGCAGTACCATGGAACCTTGCCTTTAGGACTTCTGAGCAAGCTGTCATGCTGCCTTGAGAGAGCAGATCTGCTGAGTGGGGAGGGCAGGCAGGCAAAGTAGCCCAGTGCAGTGCCCAGGCCAGGGGAGCTCTGGAGCTGGTCTGTGGCTCTTTGGCCAAGAGCTCGCTGTGCCTCTTCAGTTAGGCAGTGTCTGTCTCCAAGGACAGTTGGTATCATGGCTTGTTAAAGAATTCCTGGGAGACTTTGGCTTTGAGCCTGTCCTCAGGGCTATAACACTTTCAAGAAAGCTAATAGCAGCAGGATAGCGTTAAAATATGTCCAAACTCCCAATTCGGAATGAAGATTTAGCTTCCCTAGGAAGCTTTCTGAATGCGAGTCTCCTGCTGCAGACACTTCCATTGCTGAATGAGGTCTTAAGCTCCCTAACACTTTGTGAACTTGTATTCATTCTTGATAGGCAAATAATGGGCTGTCACACACAGCTTTTTCCTTTGCATAATTCTGATGAAGCTGTGACACTTGACAAACAGCACAGATGACTGTGAATGGCTTCTTAAAATTAAAGCAGATGAATCAGAATTAATTATGAAAAATGGCATTACTGTTGTCCCAAGAATTCAGTACAGACAGCCCTCATTTAACAAGATTATCCAGCTTCAGTTGACCCCCAGAACTTTTTAGGATTACCATTTCAGAGTCTTAAGTGCTTTATCAATAAGAAATTGTTTCCAAACGAAGTTTCAAAGCCTGTTATTCTCCCCACCCTTCTCCTCCCTCCCTCCCCCCTCCACCCCCCCTTCAGAATCAACTGATACTGCTTTTCTAATATCTTTTAAAACATAACTTTGTGATTATGAAAATCTTCAGTACTGTAGATAAATTTAGATACTACTTTAGTGCTAGGGGTGCTTCTAGTCAGCACAGCAACATTTTTCTTTCTATACAAGGAAAAAATGTGTAACTTCAAAAGATAGTTGAGCAGTGTTATCTTTTAGATTTAGATTATAATATTAACATAAAAAGCAAGAATCTTAGCAGCTCTTTTCTCCTTAAGCTATACGCTACCAAAGTGGAATTTGCATTTTTATGTGATAAGGATATTTGTTTGTAATATTGCTGTGCACCTGCAGTATATTTCAAAACATTTCACAAGGTCTGTTTGCTAAAAGGTGTTTTATAGTGCTTTAAAAAAAAAAAAAAGTATTTTTTGGATCAGAAGAGAACAAATGATGTTAATTTGACAATGAACAGAAGCATCAAACTTTTTTCCCCTAGTTGCCCAAATCCATAGAAAGTGCATTAATGCTCTGAGCTGCTTTAGTAGAGCTCAAAAACCTCTAGTGCATTCTCAGCAATGGTATGCTTTTTGTGGTCTCGAGTTTCCGAGAGAGAGAGAGGGAGAAAAAGAAAGTAAGCTTTCACAAAATAACACGGTTAAAAAGCATTAGCAAAGGACAGTTGCAAAATGGTTAATATCCCGGTCTTCAGAGACTAGAAGAAGCCTGGAAAAATCAAAGGCAAACACTTTTTTGTTACATAGCAGAGCATCTTTGTGCTTTGCACTTCTGCAAATGCTAAATTCCTTTCACAGAATCACAGAATCACAGAATGGCCAGGGTTGGAAGGGACTTCAAGCATCATGAATCTCCAACCCCCTGCCGCAGGCGGGGCCACAAACCTCCCCATTTAATCCTAGCTTTTATCAGTACCACACCATTGGCAAACAATTAAAAATGTAGTGTTTCACATTGCATGCCCTTATGCATGTAGATATTGCATCCTGTTTTTTGCATATCACTTCAATGTTGTGTATTTTAAGAAGTTATTGCAAATCCTGTTTTCTTAAAGTTTAGCATGACTCTGTATTCTCTGAAGCTGAAGAATATTTTGACGTTAAATCTTCTGGAAAGAAGCAGTGAACAGATTCAGGCAAGTCCTCATGTCTGTATACTTCCTTGCTCTTTTTTCTAATTTCAGTGTTTCCCATTTTTTGTCACTAAATATTGGCATTACATTCTGGGATCCTTTTATCTCCATGTCTTAATTTTTAATTTTTGAGATGTTGCTAGGTCATATCAAATCTTTCCCTGCATAATCCCAAGATTTAGAAGCTGTTTTAAAAAGATACAGCTCTAGCTATATCTAGAAAGCGTCTTCAAATCAACTGAACAAAATATGGCTTCAAATAAAACTAGCAAGCTTGTGGAGAGCTAGCCAGATTGCTACTTGATGACAGTCTAATTTTATAAAGAGCAGCCATCTCTATCAAAGCACCTTCGTGATATGTTTACATTCCTACATTCCTAAGTTTGGGGTACACACACAAACACACAAACACACACTCTCATATATATATATATATGTATGTTATGTACATGATATATGTATATATGCATATGGTATGAAGGGATCATAAAAAAGTTCTTGGTGAATCTAGCAGGGCACATGAATAAGCTTTTGCCTGCTTAATTTGCTATGATGGGAAAAGTTGTTGAAATAGAAAATTGATTTATTCACCAGTATCTGAAGAAATCAAATATACTGTCTTTAGTTTGAAGCCCTTACTGTTCTGTAGGTGTTTGACTCCAGTTTTTGAGGTTGAGAAGTTCCAGCAGCATTAGCTGCAGTTCCTGGGTTTATTGGTGTTTCACCTCTACTGCAACATCTATTATTCTTTCTGGTAATTCAGATGGATTGCATTAGGCCAAGCATGTAATCAGAGTATTTTCCTTCTGCAAGTAATTTATTCTAGTCAGTTTGTTCTCTCTGTTTCTGATGTTTTTTTTTTTCTTCATTAGAAGGCGTATTCATGTAACTAATTTAGGTCAATGCAGCTAAAATTGTCCAAAAATCTTTGAGTCTGCTGGACTGAATTATTTTATTAACATTACACTTATTTTTAAGTATTCCACTACAACCTGATTTGTCTAAGTGTTGACTGTCAGTACACTAAATTCACTACAAAGCATATAACACTGCATGGAAGAAAACCTCATAAATATAACCATCTATGAATCAATTAGCCTAAACTTAAATTGCAATTAAAAACCCCCATAAACTATGAAAAACATATGACTTAAGGTCGTATCACAGAAAGGAAAAGTGCTCTGAAAATACTTGCTCTCCCATTTTTATTGTTATTTTTTAGCTAGCAGCTGAAAAGATGTTGCAGACCTTTAAACATCAAGACTTCTCATATATCTCAGATGTGGATGAGACATGACATGGAAAGTAAATGCAGAACACTCTAGTAAGAAGCAAAACAAAATGAAACCTGAGCAGGAAAAATAAAATGGCCATCAAGTATAGTACAGGATCATTAGATTAACCTTCTGATGAAAAGTGTTGCTGTAAGATGTGCTTCAGGTACACTTAATGGGATCAGTAGGTTTATGTTCTTCTTACACTGAAATGGATAAAACTTTTAATTTAGATAAATGGGTACCTGACATGGTCTGTTTTTGTAGTATCTGTTGCATATATGTTGGCTTCTGACTTCAGTGGTTATTAAAAGATAATTGTTTTTTTCTTGTGCAGAGTAGTGCTGAAGTTGGGTGCCAAGAATAAAGTATGTTCTTCAT